CAGCAGGAATCTCCTTTACTCCAAGAAAACACGTTTCCGGGTTCCCAAAGGGAAAACTTCTGAAGACAAGACCAGCTGAAGAGACCGTAAAAACACAGCACTGATATGGTCACTTCACAAACCGTATTTCATAGTCGCAAAACACATTACGGTTGAACTGGTGCAACATCTCTGGCTACATTTCTCTAGCAAACCCCTCGTCTTATGTGAAATTACTACTAACATCTAGGAGCCAAAGAACATTTTATTTAATATATAGCAAAAACAAAAAGAAGAATATTGAATAAGGGGGAAAAGGAAAAATCATGCAAAAGTACAAGTAAATTGTGATAGGTTGTCTATAAATGCCACTTTGATTAAATATTCAAAGTATGCCACAATGTAATAAAATTATTTGTACATATTTTTAGTCTTTCATAATTGCTGTTCTTCTTTATTCCGGCCTAGTTTAGAAAATACAGAATAAACATTTTTTACATATTTGTATGCATGCACTCTTGATGTGCTTAGCTACATTTATTCGAACAACAGTAGCCTATATTTGATTTGAGTGCAGCAGAACAACAAAAATAGCAAAACACTCTCTCTCTCTCTCTCTCTCTATGTATATATATATATATACACACACACACACACACATATATATAGTAGTCAAGATCTGAAGTGGATCAAAAATTTTCATCAAAGTTGTCCAAAAACAAAAACAATAACCGTTCTTGTCTTAGGACAACTTTGATGAACTTTTTTTATCCACTTCAAATGTTGACTACTATATATATATATTGTGTGTGTGTGTGTGTGTTTCATCTATTGTTAGGTTTATCTTTGGTCTTTGTAAAAACAAAAACCATCAGATTACTTGAAATCTATTGCACTTGTTAGATCTACAGTCAGTAACTTATTCTCACCAGCAGAGGTCACTGTCTTTATACATTCAGACCGACTGATGTAATCGAGTAAAATTTAGAAAGGATTTTTTTCACTTATCCAGCGTGGTAAGTACTAGAAAAGTATTTTTAATTTTCGTAGGCCTTTTTAGTTTTTACTTTTTAATTCATTAACTTATATCTGTACTAGTTGTGTACCAATTTACAGGTTAAACGGCATATACATTTTTGTGTGTCGTTTCTCACGGCTTTTTTTTATTTCCTGTTCGATTCACGAACAAATGACTCGTTTGAATCGAATCTTTTATTGAATCGTTTAAAGAGACTCCTGAGCTCAGGCATTACTGATTGGTTTGAATCATTCTAACCAATCTTTCACAAGTTATTGTTACTTTATGCCGTTTCTCTGTTTGTTTGAGTAGATATGTTGGCGTTGTAGCCGACATAAAGTCATCACAACAGGCATGAGGGTTCTGTAGTATTACACTGACCTGAATAGATACAAATGCATTAAAACGCCGTTCATTTAACGTGCTTAAGTGGAGCCTGAGTTGTTTTTGAGGGCAGTAAAGCGAGGCCTGAACTCAATGCCTCTGTGGTTAATTCTGCTGTTTGAAACACAGTGTGTGGGTGAGGTGTTTTTTTTTTCTCACAACCGCAAAATAACTTTGAGAACAACAGACTACAAAACTGACTTAATACATAATTACTAGAAAATGAATGAGACGGATCTCTCTCTTTATTGGTTTACAAGCAAGCCAGAGCATCTCAACAGAAGAAAAGTAGCAAAGAAACGCCCTGCTGCAAAGCTAGCTACATTATAGTAAATATGTCAACATTTATGTTCAAAGCACGACGATCACAGATCAAGCATTGACGTTCAACATTTAATAACGCTAACATTATCACTCTAAAGATTTAACACACAAGCTTTAAAAATAAAAAAATGTTAAAGTGATGTTAAGTTAAAATAAAGTTAAAATAAACAGATCATAGATTTAATTTATGAATTTATGTTTTATTTATTTTACTTATTGTGCCAGTATACCGACACAAATGAATGACTTTGACAATATACATTATTTATATAAAATATAATAAAGCAAAAAATCAGTTGTAGAACCAGATGTAAAACCACTGGCTGTAACGGAACATAACACTTTGGAAGGTGTTATTTATTTTTATGACCACTAGATGGCCACAGCATTAACTGTTTTAAAAAGCTTCGAGTAATGAACCTTTTTCCTGATACAATTGTGATGAAAGCGTCACTGGTTCAGAACGCTTCACTTCGCCATCACTACTGAATGAGGAAGGAAACTAGTGGTGACGTCATGACGGCGATGCAAGATTAACGGTAGTTTATCAAAACGCGCCAAATAAACCAATTTGGAGTAGACGTCACAGTTACATCACTTGCAGCTGCGCGTGCATTTTGGTGGCAGAATAACACTGGGAACAAGTGGAGGGAAACGGGTAAAATCCATGGAACAAGACAAAAAAATTATTGTTATGCCTTTGGATGTTTTTATAGAATACTGCAGTCAAAGACGCCATTAGCTAAACGCAGACGTTTAAATGGACAGACTGGATGAAACCTGCTATGATTACCCTACTTTTAAAGCATAAATTTGATTTAAACAATAGGTCTATATAATATTCACATTTGCAGTTCACGGGGGACATTGTATTAGCCCTAAACCCTTACATTTAAACATTTACCTATTTTATCTCACAATTCTGACTTTTTTTCTCGCAAATGCAAGTTTATAAATCCTACTTTGGACTTCATAGCTCAATTTAACTCAACAATTGCAAGTTTGTCAATTCTGAGGGGGGAAAAAAAGCCAGATGTGTGGGATTATAAACTCATGATTCTGAGCCGAGGGGAAATCAGAATTGTGAAATATAATCTCGGAATTGCGAGAAAAAAGTCAGAATTTTGAATTACAAACTCAGTTACATTTTTTATTCTTTTATTCCATGGTTTCCGTAGAATGCTACTTTAAAACTGTCATTTTCTGCCACCAGATAGACTCCGCCCACAACAAACGTCATCACTGTTTGTAAACACCAAATTGGTCTATTGTCAAAAATCAGACTTTATTTGTTGAGAGCGAGTGTGCGCGCACGTCCTGAAGAGTGAAGTCAAATCATTTCGGCTGCAGTTCAGCTCATAAACCCCGCTCTCTGCATGTAAACGAATGGAGCCGAGGAAAACAAACAAAAAAAAAATTTTTACTTATAAAGTTTCCCCATGGTTTCTGTTGATGTATGCTCAAGTGTTCGTTTTTTTTAATAGGTTTTGTTTTAATAAGTTATTTGATGCTATAAAAATGGGTCTGACGTCGTGATTGATCGCTGTGATTTCCTCTGAGTAAAGCAGATGTCGGAGACTAAATTTTAACTTCAACTTTTCCATGGCTGTGTTGTTTCACAAAATGACTTGAAAGCCCAAAACTCAATTATAGCCTAATAGTTTATGGCTTTTAGAGGTCACAAAAATTATGGAATCATTTATTCTTGATGCTAGCAAAATCAGCAGAAATTAAAAATAGGCAATAAAAGCTTTATTAATTCTTTAGTTTTTAATTCTTTGTGACGCAAATATAAAAGTGAGTAAAAGTAGAAACAAATGAGACCGATCTCTCTCTTTATTGACTTCAAGATCTTGTAGAAAGTCTTCTCTCTTTACCTTAAAAAAAAATTTTTTATCTGGAGTCAAGTTGTTCCAGAAGCCAAAATCAGATTTCATTGGTGTAGTGGAGAAAAGTCTCTTCAGTCTTGTAGGAATAACGCTCAAGAGTTCCAGAAGTCAAAATGTTTTAAAGATAACTTTTATTTGACCCTCTCCAGGGACCAAGAGATCCCAGAGGTGTATAAACATCACATATGAGCTGTCAAGGTTTTAAAGGCAGTGAACACATTATTCATTCTTGCACCCTCCATACACAATCTCCGTCACATAGACCATGAGGCTTTTAAAATGCATCTGACTGTCATAATATTAAAACAACTTCTACAATGTCTTCTGTAGGATAGATAAAATATTCACAAAGCTTCACAAAACGCGGTATACATAGACAACACAATATTCTCAGAAACATGCCAAGTTTAATGAGTTTCTGATGCTCAGGTGGCTAACTGTATTTTTTAAATCATCCAAGGCTGTAATACCAATGTTCTCCACAGGATAACTTTTAAGTCTCTGTTTAAAATTTAAATCATACAATAGATTGACTTGTTGTAAAAGATGCATAAAGTTTCATAAGATGTCAAGTCTTAAGTCTAATCAGTCTGTGATACCAAAAATAACCTTCATTTTTATATATCCTAATGATAATGAAATCATGTCAAGTTGCAAGACAACTTGCTGTCTAATTAAAATGGAAAAAAAACAAAACATTAATTGTCTATTGTAATATAGTACATAGTTCATGTCGCTTGTTAAGGCTGCTTAAGACAGATTTACACATAAGATATTTTATAGCTCAATTCAGAAGCGTAGCTTCTGGGTATACAAGGTATGCACGTGCATATGGGCCCGTGCATATTGGGGTCCCACCGGGGGGGATATTTTAATTAAAACGAGGGAACGAATTCTGAATTCGTGGCCACGATAAATATATATTTTGTCTGCATGTAATATGCAGGGCTCTGTAATTTCTTGCGTGCATTTGTATATCTCTGCCGTAGAACTGCATAATTTTTTAACTACGTGCAAACGCTGCACCGCCGTGGCCAAATAAAATATTAAAATAATAGTTAAAATAGTATTTTTTACGAGAATGAAGTCATGTTTTATTGCATGGATAAACAACTTAATGTGAAAATTCCACCTACTCTGAATAAAAAGTATGTGGCATCCAACCTTTCATCCTTCAGATGTATTTAACATAAAAACAGCAATTAAAAAAAATAATAAAAACATTGGCAAAGTAATATTGTTGGCTTTTCTGAGGTAAATGTTATGTTACGACTGTTCACAAGCTGTTTTATTGACATTTTTCAAAACACTAATTGATCGATTACATGAGATATTTGTTTTATTAAATTGTTCAGATTTTTTTCAACATGCCTTCTGATGTTCATTGATGTTTATTTTGTGTTGTAACTAGTAGTAAAGAGGAAAAGATGATTGATTCACATGCCGCTTGAACTGAGGTGAATACAGTGATCTCACGCTACATTAAAGAGTGTTAAAACAAATTTATTGTTTGTATTTCATGATAAAATCAACAGAACTTAAAGGCTGAGACTTATTGTGTTACATTAACAGTAAAAAAACGTTAAATTATTTCCAAGCATTTATACCGTCAATCAAACAGCTTGTGAATAGTCACGTAACGTTATTTGCCTCAGAAAAGACAAGATTAAGTTAAGTTTACAGAGTTGGAGCCCATGTTAACCAATAACATTTTTTTTGCATATGGGCCCAGGGCGGACTTGCTACACCACTGGCATTATTGTTTCACGTTTGGTGAAAACGCGGCGTCAGACCTGAAAGTGCTTGATCTGAAGATGATCTACTTACTGTGAATATTTTTTGTATGTTTGTGTAAAGTAGATAATTGAGTGAAACACTTCTCACATGTAGTGCAGTAATAAGGTTTCTCTCCAGTGTGGATCCTCTCATGTTTTTTCAGGTTTCCTGACCGACTGAATCTCTTGTCGCAGTGCGAACACATGTAAGGTTTCTCTCCGGTGTGAATCCTCTGGTGCAGTTTTAAATTTTCAGCTTTAAGGAAAGTCTTCCCACACTCAAAGCACATATAATCTCTCACACCAGTGTGTATCTTCTGATGTTCTTTTAAACTTTGCGGCAGTGAAAAACTCTTTCCACACAAAGAACATGAATATGGTTTCTCTTTGGTATGAATTCTCAGGTGCTCCTTCAGGTTTGAAGCCCACAAAAATGTTTTTCCGCACTGATCACATTCATGCAGCTTCTCTCTAGTGTGGATGTTCATGTGCTCCTTAAGTTTTGATGATTGTGTACAACTCTTCCCGCACTGATCGCATGTGTACGGTTTCTCTCCAGTGTGGATCCTCTCATGTGATTTCAGATTTCCAAACTGACTGAATCCCTTGCCACACTGAGTGCAGGTGAAAGATTTCTTGGCTCTTGTTTTCTTTAAATCTTTCTGTTTGGTTTGAGAGCGACTCAAAGGTTTCTCCTCCTTTTCATCCAGTTCTTCATCATTCTCCTCAATTTCATCAATCAACTCTGAAATAAAAGTAAAATGTTTGATTTTCAGTAAATCACAGACAGAAATGAGTAAAGAAAGGACATAAAAGTGAACCATGATGTAACAGTGGGAAGTAGACAATTGCTATACAAAAAATTCATCATGTTGATGTAATTTTATTAATTTAAATATCTCTGAAACTTTCTGTGAATGAGGAACAATGATCTTCCAGTTGTTGTTTTTTTACATTACAGGCACAAATCCCATGTTTTTATCGTGAGAACTATTAAATCAACTCCACAATTGTCTAACATAAATTAATTTTGCTGAAAAAATGCACTCTCTTTATAGAAAGCGTCCTTATTATTTGCTGCTTCAACTATATTATTTCACAGCATTATATATTTTTCCTATTACAACAAATCTAAGTCATACAAACTGCTTGAAGCTTTATATTCTTATTGATCTTCAGCCTCATTAATGAAGGATCAAGAATAAACACCAACCTGTTTGTTCTTCAGTGCGTTTCATCCTGCAGGGTTCTGGATCTGTCATATTCTCACGTGGTAAAATTCTAAATCTGTAATTAAATGTGAAACCGAGAATGAAAAACCTTCTTTTTGATCCTTTAATTCTTGCAAGAATGGTCAATCTAACAGAGAGACGCTCTGTAGTTAGAAAGACAGGAGGCAAATCAGGCAAATCATCTCCGTTTTACTGGGAAAGGCTGTGCAAGATCTACTTTGACCTTTAGCTTTATCCCTTCAAACTAGTTCTAACCGGTTTTAGCCACGTACACACAGAAAATACTGAAGGCCAAAAACTGTGCAAATAGAACATGTGGAAAATAAAGAAGAATATACATTATGGAAAATAAGAAGTAAAGAACAACATAGAAATTTCCATCAGACTGTTCACACAAATTTAAAAATCTATTTAAGAAACAAATAATCTGCTAATTGACTTTAACATAACTATTTTGTTTGTGATTTATATGAAACATGGTTTGTCACAGATTAATGAATAAATATATAGTTTAGTCATGAAACTCTAGATGGCGCAGGCTGACGGGTTGTTAACGTAACTGATGATATTCAGAGAGTTAAACGACTTGGCACGAGCTGATTGGTTCATGCAGCATATGCAGCCAATGAGCTTACAGCCTTGTATTTATATGGCTGGCTAGCATTCACTAGAGATTCCTGCAGCGCGCTTTCAGAGATTCTCTGAAACCCTTCACCTTCCCCAGCTCCACGTACTGTAAATTAAAACTAACTGAAATTTCTTCTCACATAGGCCAAGACATATCAATAGGCTATTGAGCTAAGTGTGCCTGTAAAAGGCTATTAGTGTTATAATTTCATGAAAATAGTTACAGTCTTCTTAACAACTTCTAAAATATAGCTATGATAACAATTAAATTATTTACACTTATTATATACATTTTTTTAAGTTAATCCATTGATGTGCATTAGATGATGAATTGAATAGTCACCTCTACTATTGTAGGTTATGTTTTGGTCATCAGAAAATAATTAATGAGGAATTATGAGAGGTTATGCTATTACACATACATTTCTTGTTTTTGTAATGTCAAGTTCTGTCATGAAACTCTAGATGGCGCAGACCGATGGGTCCGACGTAAACTGATGATATTCACAGCGTTAAACTACTTGGCACAAGCTGATTGGTTCATGCTGCATATGCAGCCAATGAGCTTACTGCCTTGCATTTATATGGCTGGCTAGCATTCACTAGAGATTCCTACAGCGCGCTTTCAGAGTTCCCTGAAACCCTCCACCTTCCCCAGCTCCACCTGTATAGATCTGCTATGGGTTATTTTATATGCTATTTGTGCAGCAGCAGTATGTCTTAAATACTCACAGCACCGTATCGCCGTATGCATTGGCAGTAACAAGTTCCTATACTTGCTTGCAGCAGCAGCAATAATCTACAACTACAGCAATAACCAACAGCAGCAGCGTAGCAGATCTATTCCGCCAAGACCAAATACATTAATATTGTCAAATCCATCACCATGCTAAAATCTTCAGAGTTGTCATGATTAAAATCTATTTGTGGCGGTCAGTTTTGATATTGTGGCAGGCGCCACAAATAAATCAATGTATGGGGAATACTGAAAAATTAAAATGAAACT